TGAGCCTAAAATAAAAGTTAAAAAAGTCACTATCTTCCAAAGTCTCATATTCTTGTTTCTTCTGATTTAAACATGCTATGATTCTACATAGATTTGAATGCATTATATGCACATCCAGACACACACACAGAATATTTCATAAGTCACTTGTCGTTGCTATTTCAGAAATGAGTAAAATACTTAGGACAGTGGACACACAGGTGTGTCCTGTAAGTAAGGATGACTCTGTGAGGTCTTTGATCCAATATCTTACTTTCTGTAGTGCTCACAACCCCATTTCAGGGCTGGGTTCCCATAGATGGGCAAATATTTGGTCCAGCCTTTGTTGCAACTGCACAGCTACCTATAGAGAAGGAAGAGTTGCCCTCTCTTTTCTCCTCCCACATTTGAGTGTCTCTTTCCTGAGCTCATCTGGGGCACAGTAGGAATGCTGCCAGAAATGCTACCCAACTGCACCTTTGGGTGCTAAGAGTAGTTTCCCACGTATGATGGAAACTGGAGATAGGGCATTGACTGCTCTGGACTGGGTGGTAAGAAACAGGGCTCCTCCAATCCTCCTATTTGGTGAATTAATCCTTTTTGTTCAAAAGATGCCTCAGAAAAACAGGAGCTGTCATTTTGGAACACAGGGATTCAGGAAACACTTGGGAAAGTACTTGCCAGAAATTGCTCTTGAGTGACTTTATCTCAAAGAATTGCTGAGGCTGAGCTGTTATCAAATTAAATGGCAGACCTCAACATATCCACGCTCCCAATAAACCACATTTATTACCTTACAAAAGTGACATTTTCTTTGACAGTGAAGTAGCATAGTTGTAAAGAAATAATTTTCCATAACATTGTTAGTCACTGGCATGCAAAGTCATTCTCTGGCATCAAACTCAAATGATGTCTTCAATGATGAGTATCATCATAAAAAGATGGACTGGGCTCTGATATTATGGAGGAGGTTGAAGCAAGAGGAAGGAGGAGAAAAAGCATTTTCTGCAATCCTTCTATGATAGGAACTGAGATGAGAATCTGAACGGAAGGCCACACTGTACGGAGACTTACTCCAAGCATCCATCCCCATTCTATCCAGTTGAAATGAATAGCAGGGAAGGAATGAAACCTAGATTACCTTTACTAAGGGGAATTGGAATGGGAAAAATATTTACAACAAGTATTAGGTTGATTGCAAAAGTAATTGCGCTTTTTACCATTGAAAGCAATGGCAAAAATCGCAGTTACTTTTGCATCAACCTAATACAAATTTAGCTGCACAGACAATGCACTTTTCTATTATCCTGTCCTCTCCCAGAAGATGCACAAAGGTAAGAAAGTCTGTACTACTTAACATTTGTGTAGCAGTTGAAATGTACAGTGTCTTTTCGTGAATTGACCTGTTTATGTCTCCCAATAGCCCTGTGAGTTAGAAATTATCATTCACGTCTTATAGAGAAGGGAATCGAAGCTCAGAGAAGGGAGTTAAATCCAATATTTTATAAAATCGGGGCTTGTGGAATCTAAAGTTTGGAAGGCACCTTCGAAGTGATCTAGTTGAAACTCTAGTCCAAATCAGTCTAATTTAGCTCAATTCCACTGGATTCAATAAACATTCATTTAGTACCTGGTTGTGCCTAACACTGTGTCAGACCCTGATATAAAACTAGGAATTGGTTCTGGTTTCTGTCCTGGAAGAGCATACTGGCAAGGGGGAGAGCCTGGTAAACCACTTACTCTCACACTGTGAAGTAGATGATACCTGAAAGAGGTATGTGTGGTACAATCTAGGCAGGAGCCATTATTCACCTGGAAGGGTGGGTGCTGGGGAGAAGTAGTCTAGAGAGGTCCCAGGAGCTGAGCTCCTAAGGAGGAGGAACCTGTCTGTGGGACTGGGAAGGAAGGGCCGCTGGTCAGCAAGGCAGGACTGCGCAGGCAGAGGGAGCGGCATGGGCCCAGGACAAAGGGATGCTCAGAGGAGCCTGGCAGTCTGTGGGGCTAGCGTGTGGCTTTGTGGGAGAAGGAGTGGTGAGGAAGCTGGAAAGGGAAATCAAGATGGGAATCTGAAGGACGTTGAGGACCATGTTATGTAATTCAGGTTCTCTCCTCTAGGAAATAGGGACCCATCAAAGGCTTTTAAGCACAAGAGTACAGAAATAGTGATCATAATGATCCCAGGTAACATTTATTGAGCACTTACCACAGGCCAGACACTTTGCTAGACGCTTTACATGCAGCAGCACATTTAATTTTCTCCAAAACACTTTGAGGAAAGAACTGCTATGATCTCTGTCTTACAACTGTGGAAACCAGGGGTTAGGGAGCTGAAGTAGCCTGTTGTGGCAGAGTCAGGCTCTCCAGCTGTGACAGGCTTAGATGGCTGTGTTTATCAGAACGATCACTAAAAGCACTGTGGAAGGTCAGCTTCAAAGGAGAAGGGGTTTATCCTGGCCCCAAATGTATGACTCAGGACTCATTGGGAGGCCCTCCGTTTCTGAGCTGGGGAAGCAAACGCTCCTGTCCTTCCACGTTTGTTCCCTTCCCCAGGAAGCTCAGGAGAGGAATGTGGCCCTAGTTACCCAAGCCATTTAGCTACTGCCTTCCGCCTGTCCCGACCATGTTTACCCCCTCTCCCTCCCACATTTGCACTCTTCATGAGTGACAGCTCTGAAACCCACCAGTGTTGGTTCAATGGACTTTAGGGAAATCGAGGCTGTTCAACCTAGAAAGTGGACAACAAGCATGGTAGGGGCTACCTGTGGTCCAAGATAGGTTTGGAAAGGCAGGATGAGCAGAGAACAACATACCATTTGCACCTTGCAGAGTGGGCCTCAGAAATATTCTGATTCCATGTCAATTAAATATGGGCAATCGTGAATATATGGGTTAAAGATATGAAAATGGCTGGACTGTAAATCAGTTTATTTAAATGCATTTTTGATAGCAGAATATAGGCATATCATTAGCTTGTAAATGTGTCTAATAAGCCTGTCTTCACTAATATGCTAGAAAGAGTCTAATTAACTCTTTTTTCCTCCAGTTAGACAGTCGTGTGAGAATCTCTGATCACAATTCCACACTATCTTTTTAGCATCAGCAAAGCAGCACTAAAACAGCCCCTGTGACATCTATAAAAATGCTAGTTTATAATTAGGACGATCTTGGCTTGAACAATAATGTTGCAATTTGCAGTGATGGCTTCTGTTTCCCTTTCATTTTAATGTATTAGTCTACAATGCTCTGGAGATTTCTGGACAGACTAGCTTGTTTCCATTTCCAAAATTGCTAGCATTATATGCTTTAGGTTAAGGAAGAAGCAGCTGCGATTTGGTGGGAGTTTTTTGGGGGGAGTGGGAGGAATGTAAAGGCAAAAGAAATACTAATGAGAAAAGCCAAGTATAACATCACCCATTTATTTCGTAACCCATCATCTGATGTGAGAGCCATGTTGTGGAGCCATAGGAATCCCCAAACAACAGAACCCTTGTGTTTCCCAGTGTTCTCCAGTACAGGGGTGGTTAGCCTCTTTCCATCAGGCTCCCAGAGGCCTGCACAAATCTGCCATGGATTCCACCAAGGAAATTCAAGAAGGTGGACCTTTTTGCTCTTTCAAGCTTATAATTCTTTGTAGAGTCAATTTAGATATTGAGACAAAATGCCCACATCGCTATCAGAACCACATCACTAAGCCTGCCATGTCTCTTTTGTCATGCCTGGAACACATTTGTCCTTGTTGCCTAAAGCTAGAGTTCTTAACACGGGAAAAGAACAGCCCAAGGATAGGCTTCAGGAAATGTGTGGATACCCTGAAATCGAATGTAATGCTAAATGAACATCAGAATTCTCTGCAGAAGATTTTACCCACATCAAAATGCGTGTTACACCATTGAAGAAACTGACTGAGGAGACCTTAGGTGGGATTTGGGAATCTGTGTTTTTTTAAAAGAAACTCCCTGGTACTTTTGATAATATATCTTTAACTGGGGAGAATGTTCATGACTTTTATCAGAACCTCAAAAAAATCTGTGACCCCAAGAAATTTAAGAACCCCTTGTATGAAGTTTGGCATGCTAGGTGCTTTTTAGTCTGACCTCATCTTTCTTTTTCAACACTGTTCTCCTATTGGGGGATTGAGGGACCTAATAAATAGCACCATTCTTTCCTAACTGACAATTTAGAAATAAATTAGTAAGGTAGAAAGGAGATGAACATATTACCTTATTTTCTAAGTGGCTAATTGCAATGGACTGAACATTTTCAACAAACACATATGTTGAAATCCTAACTCCCAATGTGATAGTATCAGTAGGTAAGGTCTTTGGGAGGTAATCAGGTCATAAGGGTGGAGACTTTACAAATGAAATTGATGCCTTTATGAAAGGGACCATAGAGAGCTCATTCGCCCTCTTTCTGCCATGTGAGGATTCAAGAAGTCAGCAGCATGCAACCTGGTAGAGAGTCCTCAGTAGAACTAACCATGCTGAAATCCTGATCTCAGATTTCCAGCCTGCAGAACTGTGAGAAATAAAGATCTGTTGTTTAAAAGCCATTCAGTCTATGTTACTTTGTTATAGCAGCCTGAACTAAGACATTAATATTGAAGAAGGTGGCATATAACTTCAGGCTAGTAGGGTAATTAATACTGAAACCACAAGTTTCTACCCACCTAGCCTCAGGTAGTGCTGGATGTAGGAGCAGAACCTGCTCCTGAAAGCTATGACATGGGGGAGCAGGGCAGCTCCTGTGTTGTCCCCAAGCAGCTGACTCCAAAGAGGAGGAAGGGCAGGTGCTGGAAAGCACAGGCTAAACTTCTTCCCTAAACTGCGCTGGGGTAGAATGAATGAAGGGATAAAGAGAGGCCAGGACTGTTACTCTAACGGAGCTCTGTCTACATGGAGGCAAGCATCAGGAACAGTGATTACTCCTTGACTAAAATTTTCCATTATTTCTTAATAGGTCATGTGTTTCCCTGCCTCTGTATCCTGTTTAACACCTATCCTGTCTGAAATGCCCTTTCAGTGCTCATTTCAGCAGCACATATACTAAAATAGGAACGATACAGAGAAGATTAGCATGGCCCCTGTTCAAGGATGCAATGTCCTCTCAATCATCATTATTTATCTGAATTTCATGTATCCTTGAAAACCAGGTGGAGTTTGACTTCCTCAGTTGAGTCTTCTCTGACTGCTGCTGTGGGTAAACGTTCCCTGTACCAGGAGCAGTCTGCTTGGAGTCCCCACAGCAGTTCTCCAAAGCCTGATTGACACCGACGTTACCTGCAGGAGAGTTTACCCACACCAAAACCTTGGCCTCACTCTTGGAGAATCTGATCAGATCTTGAGGGGGGTTTAAGAATCTGTATTTTTAAAACATCTCCCAGGATAGTTCTAATAATCTGCCTCATCCAGAAACCACCATCCAGTCATTATTTGCATGACCCTTTTGACACTCACAGCCCTGGCTGCAAGAGGGGAGAAATGCGTCTCACAAAGTAAAAGGGTTACAAAAAGGTGCATAGGATATAGAGCACAGGGGAGCTTAGTTAGGATGGGCATCATGGAAAAGAGGCTTAAACATGGGTGAGGAGACAGTGGTGCCAATTGTGGGGAAGTAGTGGGGATAACCTCCAGCAATTTCTCTGCAGCCAAAAGAGACCTCAGATGTCAAGAGGGCATAAGAGAATTATATGACCATTATCTGTAAAGGAGTATGATCATAATACCTTTGTGTGGGTGAATTAAGTAAACAAAGTATACAAAGTATATAATGCACCTAGCATAGTTCCCAAAATATAGAAGATACGGCAGTCCCTCTTTATTCATGGTTTCACTTTTTGTGGTTTCAGTTACCTGTGGTCAACTGCAGTTTAAAAATATTAAATAAAAAATTCCAGAAGCAAACTATTTGTAAGTTTAAAATTGCATGCTGTCCTCTGTACCATGATGAAATATTGCTCCATGCCACCTGGGACATGAGCGATCCTTTTTTCCAGTGTATATATGCTTTGTGTGATACCTGCCCATCATGATATAGGAATAAGCAGTGTATATAGGGTTAGTACAATCTGCAGCTTTAAGCATCCACTATGGGTCTTTGAACTTATTCTTTGCTGATATTGGGGGACTACTGTACAGTGAATACAACTTGGAATGTCATTGTAACCCAGATTTAATTTTGTGCCTATAATACTTGCCTGTGGAAAGAAAATGGGACAAGTAATAACAAAATCACACATGGACAGAAGAAACACTTATATTCTCATTTTGTTCATATATTGATTTTTGCTGACTTCCATTAGTTCATTGTGCTTTCTTTTAGCTTTTTGAGCATATTTAAAACAGTTGTTTTAAACTCTTTGTCTATAAGTCAAATGTCTGTGATTCTTCAAAGATGATTTCTGCCAATTTATTTTCTTCCTTTGAACAAGGTATGTTTTCCTGTTTCTCTGTATGCCTTGTAATTTTTGTTGAAAATTGGTTATTTGGAAAAACAGCTCTGTGGATCTATGGTCTGTAGTCTCTTGCAGCTTTCATGAGCAGCCCTGCCACTTCTCACTTAAGTTCCAAGCAGGGTGAGACAGAGAACCATCCTTCATGGAGCTCCCAGATATGTTGGAACATTGCAATTCAGGTCTTCTCTGCTCTTCTGATTCAAAGAAGGGAATGGGGAACTGGGTTGCCCCTCCTCCAGGCCCAGTGTACCATGCTAGGAGGGTGTAGGAGAAGGGCAAGTGAATCACCATGAATTTGCCTCATATTTTGAATGTAGCTTTTCCTTGATTAAATGTTTGCTTGGTTGCTGTAGACTTTTGACTCTTTTCAGAGCTCCTGTAAGGTTATTTTAGCCAGTTTCTGTTTGTTCTTTGAGGTTTCCCTGAGGAAATGAGGGATGGACTATCCTAGTCCACCATTTTTATATCAGTCCTTCTTGGTCATCCCTTTTAGTTTTCTATCTTTCAGGATGTCACTACTATTTTTCAAAATACATTAGGATTACAGACATAATATTTTAAAGAATAATACAATTATTGAATTGATGGAACAAGAATGGACTTCAGAAACCATTTTGCCCAAATCTTTTTTTCTTTTTCTTTGGTGAGGAAGTGAAGGCTTCCTTCTGGAAAGGGAAAGAGACTTTTCTGAAGTCACACAATCGTGAGTGGCAGATGGGAGCCTCAAACCAAGATTTTCTAACTGAATGTCCAGTGGGATCAGCGTAAGAAATACGTGTGACCCCGGAGAGTGTCCAGTAGGCAGGATTTAGCGATGCAGCCAGGATTTAATGATGCTAGCACTGCTCTCATCCTGTATGCCTTGTGCCCTTCCCCATCCTGCACACCCTTTTCCTCTTCTGGGACAGTAGCGATCATTTCCAGTTCTTCATGTTAATTAAAGCAGTGCTGACATGGCTGCTCAGACAGGAAGTGCTGCAGCTGTGTTTCTCTTCTCTTCTTACAGGTATTGCCTTTGGAAGTTCCCCAGCAACTGTCTGAGAGTGCTGCTGATATTAGGGAAGACAGAGTGGAGAGTGATCCTGCACCATTATCTCAGGACATGCAGACTTTCATCAGGTGACTGTTGTAGCTAATGGGCCCAAAGGCTTTAAAGCTTCATAGAACCTGAGATAGAGATTGGACAGGTCCTTTTAGAAAGATGTTCAGGTGACCTAAAAAGTTGATTTAAGAACATTTTTCACTGACGTTATTTTCCCCCAAAATTATATGTTCTATATCTTGCTTTTGCACTCACTTCATTATCAATAGTAGTATTAGTGAAAGTGGTGGCAGTAGTAGCAATAGCAGTAATGCTTCTTGGCTGTGCAGTAGATGTTGTGAGGGTCAGTAGTCCTGGGAAATCTTACAAAACTAAAGACCTGTTCTTCCAAAAAGTATAGATACAAATAAACATACGATTATGAGACTGCAAGAATTTTACAAGCCTCCTAAAATCTAGACCTCAGATTGAGACACCCCTGTGGACAGATTATACCATTAGCTTATTTGCCATGCTGTTGTGGATAAGCCAGTTTGTCTGGTTTCTATTTTCGCACATGTTAAAATGGGAATACATAGTGTATTCATAGTTGGAGAGAACAAGATTAACAGCAGAGGACTAGGCCTGGTGTAGCATCAGCCTGGAGTAAGCAGCTGTAGGACACAGGAAAAAAGGAGAAACAGAACCTAAATATGAGGGGATCCTGCAAGAAGGCAGGTGACAGGCAACAGGCTGGCATGAGAGAGGCCCACCCTCAGGAATCAGCAGAGGATGGGGAGATTAGCAGATTCCAGTAGGCAGGATATTTGAGAAGTAGACAATTTTTTAGTTTCTAGCTGAAAGACCAGTAGTCAGCACCGGGTAGATTTGAATACCTGGTAGTTAGTCAATGAGTAGCAGGAAGTGAATTCCTAGGCTGGGAATCAGGGACAGAACTGCCATCCCTGGGGAGGTAACCCAGGGCAACAGAGCAAGAGGAAGTGAAATGTAGCCAAGGCCTGGGAGAAATAGGCACCAAGAACCATCTAGCCACAAGAAATGGAACTCATATTGGGGCTGAGACATGGGACAAAGCAGGCCACCCATAGAAACCAGACAGATGAAAGACAGGCACCAGCGGTTTACAAAAGGATACAATTAGTCAGTATAGATATTAAAATGTCAGACCTCAATATTAATCAAGTAACCGCAAATTAAAACATGATACCATATTTTGCTTATTAAACTAGTAGCAGTTTTTTAAGCTAAAGGACCATTCATGTTAGTTAGGGTAAGTTAGTTAGTAAGAAAATGGGTACACACTGAATGCTGAGCACTTTGATGGGTGCAATTTTTCCTAATTTGGAAAAAAAGCCAAAAACTTGCACAGATTTTGGTTCAATGTTTTCACTCTGACAAATTTATACAGACAAACGTTTAAGAATGTGCACATACATTTAGCTACAAGAATGCTAATTGCAGAGAAATCAGATGTCCAACAACAAGCAACTGGTTAATGAATTATACAATATCCATATATTGGCAGATAATGAATAAGAATAGCTGATGATGTATAATTATATTTATTGGCATGGAAAGATGTTCATGATACATCGCTAAAGAAAAGAATCTGGTCACAAATGGGTACATTTGGTATGTTCCTGACACATAGTATACTCTTAATAAAAATGTGATTTATTGATATAGGAAGAAGAACATAGGCCAAAATGTCAACAATTATTACCTCTGGTTAGTGGATAATGGAAATTTTTTTCTTGTCTTTTCTTTTACCTATTTTCTTACTTTTCCACCAATGAGCAAGCATTATTCGTGTAACACAGAAAAAGTAAAAGTTACTTTTTTAAAGTACAGATTATTAACTGAATGCCTCCTTTACCAGCAGTCTAGGGAATATTAACTAGCATGCCCTGATCTGCAAGTCAGGCTTAGATGACCTCCCCAAAGCCTAGGCTACAAGACCCCTAGGCTGAGAGGCAGGCATCGTGGGTCTGTGCTCCTCCCATCCTGCTCCCCTCTCCAGGCTCCACCACTCTATAAAAAGCTAAGTCACTGTCAGACCGGTGGTCCAATCCCAAATGCCAGGCCTCATTTAGAGGAGCCTTTCTCAAGCACCTTATATTTGTTAATTACATAAATACCAAATACTGAAAGCTCCGCAAGGACAGAGTAGGTCTGTCTTGTCTGTTGTATTATCTTCAGTGCCTACAGCACAGTGCTTGGCATATAACAGAAGCTTGATAGAAAGTAGAGTAACTGATATAGTATAAATGTTTTTAAATAAGGTGAAGAAAGAGGAAAGGAAATAAAACTAGATTCCATGAGTGAGTACCCTATATATGCCAGGCACTATTTTAGGAATTTTTCATGACACGAGAGTTAGTATAGACCAGTGGTCAAAGACGCAAGCTCTGATACTCAGGATGCCTCGGGTTGAATCTTGGTTCTACTGACTACCTCGGTGACTCTGAGAAAGCTGCTTAACTCTCTAAGCCTACATTTTCTCGTAAGTAAAATGGAAACATCGTGCCCATACTCCAAGACATGGCCTCCAATAAGCCATGCCTTCTGGTATTACTGCCCTGGTACAGTTTCCGCCCACCTTCCTACTCTGCTGGCCTGTGACCCAGT